AAGGCTCTTTTTCAGATAAGATCACATTCACAGTTTCCATGGATTAAGATGTGGACTTATCTTTGGGGACCCATCGGTTTGCCCACTATAGGGGCTCTAATGTCTTTGAAGTAGTACCATGTAAATGTTTTCATAGTAGAAATCTCAACACTTCATTTAGAGTCACAGGTGGATCTGAATTTGAATCGAAACATAATACAGAAACAGAACAAGAAGCAGTTTCAGGGTGTGCCAGAAAATGAAAATCCCATGGGTTAAGATAAACCTTTTGGACACACACACTATTGGGATATTTTTCCTTCATAGGAGTGTTGGACTTGGGTCTCAAAATGAAGACAAAACTATCAGTGCTATGGTAGTGAAGACTCCTTCCCATCTCCAAAGAGCAGAGAGTCTGGAAGGGGTATCTGTGGGTGTTTTCATCATTCTGTCGCAGAATGTTACAGAAATGTAATCTGGCACCGGGATATCTGGCGCAGGAGAAATCTGCTCTTCCCCAACACACACCGTGGTCTCTGGTGTAACGTTTCTCTGGGTCCTACAGCCTGACATAAAAATTTGCTAAGTTAAGAGAAGAGGACCTGACCATGCATTGGCTTAAGGAGTAGAAAGAATCTCTACATTCCTGGTAGGAAATGCTTGCACTGAATATAAATATAAAGTAGCAAATATTCTTGTTAAAACAATCAGAAGGGAGGACAAATTCAAGAATATTTATACTAAAATGTTATGTGTTATCCCATGAGAGGACATCCTTCAGATAAGAAATCAATAATGCTGTCTAAATTTGGACGTGTTGGATGAGTAGACTTGTGTGCATTTGACAATGGGCAAAGTATAATCTGGGCAAAGGGGCCAGCATCTGCAAAGGCACAGATTTAAGAAAGAGTTCAGTGTGCATAAATGGTTAGGCTTTTTAAATGGCTGATATGCATCTGGAGTACATAGTGAAAAAGTGGGGGAAGGCAAAATTAGAAAATAACTAGAGGGAGTCTCTGGGTGGCTCAGTCATTTAAGTGGCTTCTTTCAGCTCAGGTCATGATCCCAGAGTCCTGGGATTGAGCACACACCACCCTGCCCGGTTGGGCTTTCTCTCACACTCTCCCTTTCTCTCTCTCTCTCTCAAATAAATAAATAAAATCTTTTAAAAAATAAATTTAAAAAGAAGATAACTTAGGGGAAAACCGTAAATGGCCTTCTATCTTTTAATATAGAATTGATCTTTACAACTTCTGATGGTTCCTCATTACCCAAAGATTAGCAAGAAGTGACCTAATCAAATATATATCTTATAATAATTCTAGTGGCGGCTTAAAAGAAGTAGAGACTAGAGGCAACAGATGATTAAGAGGCTGTAGCAATCATCCAAGTGAGAGGTGCTGAACGCCTGAATTAGGACAGTAGCAGGGTTATAGAAATAAGGAAATTGCTCTGCGTGCTACTTGAGAGGTCAAATTGACATGACCTTGAAAATTACTGGATATGTAGTGTGCTTCATTAGCACTCTGGTACCTATCTGTCATAAAGAATGTGTTTATTCCATTAGCTTTTTGGTAAGATGCCCCCAATATCCATGCTTCCTAAATCCCATGCTCCGCTTCCACAGTGAATCTGGGCAAGCTTTGTGACTCACTTTTGAGTCACAGCTGAACCCAGCGTTCCAGGCATTCTTTAAGGCTCCAGACATGTCAGTGAGCAATTTGGGGTATTCCAGTCCAGTCGAGCCCCAGATGTCGCATGGAGCAAAAGTAGTATGAGATAGTAAGATGGTAGCTGTTTAAAACCATTGAGTTTTGGGGTGGTTTGTTATGCAGCAAACTACAGGGTCACCAAAGTCCTTTGCAGATTCTTGTTGAGGACTTAGGGGAAATTGGCAAGAATTAAAATGTGTTTTTCAACTATCTGATTCCTGATGGTCTCTAATAGCTCAACGTGGAACAGCTGCCTATTTCACCAAACTTCTTTTTGAATATGGTCCTTGTGCTCCTGCTCTGGCACAGAAGATGTGTTCGGGTGTAATGTGAGTTCTGGGTCTCCACAGCACAAGAGCAGGTGGCTGATTGCTCATGTTGGGGCCCTACAATAAACAGGGAGACGTAAGGTTTTCTTGTTCAATGACATTTTTATACTTCACTTGTTCTTCTCATTCCATTTACTAAACCCTAAAAAACAAACAACCCCCCCAAAACTGTGGGGCTATTTACAAGAGCATGCCAGTATTTCTGTGAATAATCAAAATTTAACAGACTATTTTCAATTTCAGAGCAATTTTAGAACCCAGAGACTGAGAATTTTGGTTCATATTTCCTTGGTTACACATGACTTTTGTAAAGATATGGATATTTTTTGTAAGGACTCTGCAGTCCGGATTTACATTTTCCCCCATACTTATAACAATAGGTTTTCCAAATTATGTGCCACTGTATCCAGGAATTGACCACATGTGTGGAAAGAGTTTTCTCGCCTCACATCCAAAGACAAGCAAGGGGCCCAAGTAAGTTGGAGTCAGGGGCCAGTTTCAAGTGGCATTCTATTTGGAAGTGTAGTGTAAATGTAGCCAATTTCTCTATATTCTATGACACAGAAAAGCCTGTGAAGTCTTGTGTTGCAGCAGTGCACAAATGAACCAAACTCTGTCCTTGACGACTTTCTGTGCCTTTTGTTTCTACCAATTCAGTTAGCTAAAACCACAGGATTATTACTGAAAATATGAGAAATTCCTACCATTGATTTTTATGCCAATAATGATGGAGATCTAGTTTGGGAAGCTGACCCGCAGCTGGAACAGTGATTGATCTCCTGTGTTGTTTTACCCTACCAACACTAGTGTGCAAAGGACTGTAGGTTTTCCTCACTCGGTGTCATGCTACACACTTCCCATTCTATTACACACATGCCAATAACATAAGAGATTCAACTATTCCCAGTCAGATGGTCAAATAGATTTATTACTACCTTGTAAATGATTTTTGGAAAAACAATCTTTCCATATGTATGTCTCTTAAACAAGGGTACAGTCTGAGGGATTTGTATGTATGCAATTCAAAACTGTTTACAGAAGATGTAGTATTTTTGTTACACATGTGATAATGACAGTAATGAGATTTCAAAAAAAAATCTATAAAAAGAAATAGAGAGAGAGCAATAGTAGCATAATTTGAGAAGCTGGACCAGAGCTGGATAGGCTGTTATTAATGTGGATGACAGGAGAAAGCTGACAAGTAGATGAAGAGGCCCAGAAACAAGTTAATTCATGTTAACAAAACCCAGAAAGGTTCCAGAATTAGAGGCCTCTAAAGTACCAATGGGGTATTAAACTGGTGGATTGTTTGGAAATCTGTAAAATAAGCAAGCACCAGATATTTTACCCATCTCATGTGCCTGGAAATTACAAATGAAGAACATCTTAGATCATCATAGAGTTCAGGTACTTATCACAATCACAGTGTAAGCTGGAGGATAGACCAAGAGCCCTAGTGAACGTCCCTTGTCAGTGCTCTTTTCAGATTTCACAAGTGATTTTTTTTAAATTTTTTATTGTTATGTTAATCACCATATATTACATAATTTGTTTTGGTGTACTGTTCCATGATTCATTGTTTGTTCATAACACCCAGTGCTCCATGCAGAATGTGCCCTCCTCAATACCCATCACCAGGCTAACCCATCCCCCCACCCTCTTCCCCTCCAGAAACCTCAGTTTGTTTTTCAGAGTCCATCATCTCTCCTGGTTCGTCTCCCCCTCTGACTTACTCCCCTTCATTCTTCCTCTCCTGCTATCTTCTTCTTTTTCTTTTTTCTTAAAATATGTTGCGTTATTTGTTTCAGAAGTACAGATCTGTGATTCAACAGTCTTACACAATTCACAGCGCTCACCGTAGCACATATCTTCCCCAATGTCCATCACCCAGCCACCCCATCCCTCCCACCCCCGACCACTCCAGCAACCCTCAGTTTGTTCCTGAGATTAAGAATTCCTCATATCAGTGAGGTCATATGATACATGTCTTTCTCTGATTGACTTATTTCACTCAGCATAACACCCTCCAGTTCCATCCACGTCGTTGCAAATGGCAAGATCTCATTCCTTTTGATGGCTGCTCACAAGTGATTTTTAAAAACTGGAAATAGCCAGGGGGCCTGGGTGGTTCAGTGGTTAAGCAACCAACTCTTGATCTCAGCTCAGGTCTTGATCTAAGGGTCTGTGAGTTCAAGCCCCCGCATTGGGTTCCATGCTGGGCGTGAAGCCTACTTAAAAATAAATAAATAAATAAAATGCAAATGGTCCAAAATGCAAATAGCCACATATGAGAAGAAATGAAATCCCCAAATGTTCACGTAGGGGGAAGGTTGAACTGAACCAAAACCAAAACCCTCCATGTGTTAATGGAGGCAGCATTGCCTGTTCTGGTATGAAACGTGCAGATCTCCATGCCAGGAGTGAGAAGAGGGCATATTCACACTCCCCCTTCATACATGTGAAGAGATGAAGAGATATGATAGGATGACTAGTTCTTAAGATGTAGCAACAATGAGGAGTAAATATTGCCCTAGTTTAACCAGATTATTTTAGATAGGGTGGAGTAACCATCTAGTTCATCTGGAATCGGTTATGCCAAAAGAGGAGGCAAGGGATCTAACTTAGTAATATGACTGATATATTGGTGGGAGTTGAGGTTAGTGTTGCTTAGTAACAGTCCAGTTAGGTGAGGGAGCTACAATGACTAGAAGGCTTGTTTATCTATGTCTGCTCTTTCCCCTGATTACTGAAAACACTGTAATTCAGTGAATTTGCCTTTTCCACCTACACATAGCTCTTTAAAAAAAAAAAGACTTCTTTTATTATTTATTTAAGAAAGAGAGACAGGGCACGAGTGGGAGGGGCAGAGGGAGAGGGAGAGAGAATCTCAAGCAGACTCTGCTCTGAGCACAGAGCTGGACCTGAGTCTCGATCTCACGACCATGAGATCAGGACCTGAGCTGAAACCAAGAGCCAGTGCTTAACCAACCACTCAGGTGCCCCACTCATGCTCTTGTCAATGCTGGTGCCAGAGCAGCACCAGCCATGGGTTTTGATATGGGCTGCAGGTGCCTGAAGAGCACCGTGTCATAGCACAGAGGTATATGACTGCATCTTCAGGCTGGAATCCTTCGATGTACAAGGAGCTATAACCCTCCTGTGTATTAAGAGTGGTTTTTACTCGTCCTTTCTTCTTTTCATCCCCATTTAAAGTAACTGAGAACAGGAACGTGGGGCTTTTTGCAGGTTCCCATCTGTACCACTGTAAAGAGTAAAAACTGCTGGAAGGAAAACGGCAGGTGAAATTGGTGTTCTCTCCTTCCTGAACATGAAGCCATGGAGGATTCTGTTCCACATTCAATACGCTGCCCACTCCTGTTGAGAAAGACAGGGTCAGACATAGAAATTGGTCTCTCTACAGTTTCCATTTTCTTCACACATTCCCAAGTAAAACCTAGGGTGTCTGATGGCATCTCCCCCCTTCTCCGTCACCACCCACAACTGTTCAAAATGTGTTCAGCAATCCAAGGACTTACCGCCAAGGTGAAGCCACAGGATTAGCAGTGAGGCTACCAATGGACTCCTCTCCATTAATCCTGTGCAAGAATCTCAGCAGAGGAATGTTCTGCAGCCTAGATCTGTGGAATATTCTGCTTCAGAAAAGAGAATTTTGCATCTTGTTGCCCAGCCAATCAGAGACAAGTTCATATAAATGTCTTGGAACACACCAACCAACTCTGCCCTAGATTTAGTTTCTTGTGGTTCAAACACTGTTTTCTTGATGCCAGCTTCACAAACGTTGAGGAAATCCCCCGTAGGTTTGTAACATAAAGAGAGCTGACAACTTTGCAGAAGGCTGCTTCATCACGGACTGCCATTATCCAGCTGCAGAGAGAGTTGCAGGTGGCATAACAATCTGGGGTACGAAAAGCACTTTGGTTAGAAATCTTTCTATGAATTTTCAAAAAAATTTTTAGAATTTGCAAATCACCCCAAATTGAGGATGTGCATCCTTACTAGGTGCTAAATTACCTTTTTGCTTAATTACATTATTCTAATACAAAAGTCATGCAAGAGATATTATTACTCCCAATGTACAAACAAGGAAACTAAAGTTCAAAGAGATTAAGTAATTAACTCAGGGTCAAACACCTAGTAAATGGCATAATAAGAATCAGAACATATATCTATCTACCTATCTGGAGTCTATGATGTTTGGAATCTGTCATGCCACCTACATTTGTGATGCCCTGTAAATGGTTTAGATGTTAGAGAATATATGTTCTAAAAATAATGGGAATCAGTATTGCGATTATTTTTCCTAATAGCCAAAAATGTGGGAACAATTCAAATGTCCATCAGCTGGTAAATGGATAAATGAAATGTGGCATATTCATCAAAGGAATACTATTCAGCAATAAAAATGAGTTAAATAATAAATAAAAATATAAATAAATGAAGTTAAATACTACTATATGCTTCAACATAGATGAATATAAAACTATGTTAAGGAAAAGAGCCAGACACAAGAGTGAACATATTGAATCCTTCATTATATTAAATGTTCAGAAGAGGAACACAGAAAGAGATAAAGGAGATCAGTGTTTGACTGGAGCCAGGGGTGGAAATAAGGATTCAATGTAATTGGATATGAAGGATCTTTGGGGGGTGATAAAATGTTTAAAATGTTTAAAAATGGACTATTGTAATGGTTTCACAAACCACTTATGGTATCGATAAATACAGTATAGTACTGTGAATGTATTTTTTTCTTCCTTATGATTTTCCTGATAACATTTTCTTTTCTCTAGCTTACTTTTGTAATGATACTGTATATAATACATATAAGATGCAAAAATCTAGGTCAATTGACTGTTATCAGTAAGGCTTCTGGTCAACAGCAGGCTCTTCGTGGTTTTTTGGTGAGTCAAAATTTAAAAACACGATTTTCAGTTATGTAAGGCTCAGTGTCCCCAACATTCGTCTTGTTCAAGGGTCAACTGTTATTTCATCTTTTGCACATTTATTCAACAAATGTATACTTATTGTACCTCCTCTGGGCTAGGCATTGTTCAGGCAGGGAAGATGCAGTAGTGAGGTGGATAGAAAAGGCCCATGGTGCAGTGGGAAAAGAAAAACATTAAATAAACAGACTTTAAAAATAAGATAATTTTAAAGAGTGATGCACATTATAAAGAATATACAATACTGTATTGAAATAGAGAATTACTTTTGAGGTGAGGAAAAGTATCTGCTCTAAATAAGATATAGTGGGAGGGCTCCACTCTGTAACTTACCCAGTGAGGTATTTAACTTCTCTTGCACTCAACTTTCTTTTCTGTAAGTAGCCAGTGTCTTTCTATTGGGCAGTGGCCTGAGCTTGGCATGCATCATCTCATTTACTTCCCATCAACACCCATGGTGTAGGGATGAGGAAACTGAAGCATAAAAATTATTAAGTAATTTGCCTCAGCTCTTAACTAATGAACGGTAGATTTAGAAATCCAACCCAAGTTTATGGTCTCAAGGTACACTGCCTCCTAAAAGGATGATGCAGCCAACCTTGACGTGTTCCAATAAGAATTAAACGAGAACACACATGCAAATCACCTAGTGTAATAACCTCCCTATCTTAGGCACTCAACCACATGCATGTAATATATAAAATATTGAGGGGTTCGAGACACTTCCTAACCTGAATCTGAAACTGCAGGGGAGTTTATTGACAAGATAAAGCTCAATATTTTCTGAGGTGTGTTTGTAATCTAACAGCATATTTCACATATTATCGTAAGTATCCATGGTCTATCATGTTTCTTACTGTTAATGGGAAGTCAGGGCATTATGATGTCATATTGGGAGGTTGGGTGGCATGTTATAACATGAAAAGAGTAAACCAAACATGGTTCCTTACAATGCAATTATTATTTTTTTCCATCACTGACTCTTGCTCCTGCTTCTCAGGATATTTCTATACCACAATAAAAGAGCAGTAAACACAATTTCACTTAACAGAGAAAAATCTCCCAACCTCTGCAACAGTGCCAAGCTTTATTTCCATGATATCTTATTACTCTCCAGCCCAAATCATCCCACGTATTATATTTATCATTCAAAGTCGATCACTTTCACTTCTGGCTAGGCAAAAGATTAAAAACAAGCCAGCCCTCCCGAATCTTCTCTCTCATGATTACCGCAATGGGAAGTTTACTGGCTTTGATTCAGCAATGGTAGCTCCCATTGGGACTAGTCTTCGCCACTATTTAACTTGTCTGTCATCCCTGGAGGGCAGTCACAAGATATTACAGTTTGTCCATGACTTTGTTTACATCCAAATTTCCTTCACAAATGTTACTCTAGCTGAATTCAGGCTCAATAACTAGGTGCATAGACAACAGCTTTGCATAGACTTCTCCACCAGCTATTGCAACTGCATGAGGTCAGATCCTTATAACTACTCTCTGATTCTACTCTACTCGTGGTGGTTGGTGGTTCTGCATATCTGATTGTACCCTGACACAAAGACTAAAAGGAAAAGGCTAAGGAATCACAGACCTGTACCTCTGAAACAAATAATACATTATATGTTTAAAAAAGAAGAAGAAGAAGATAGCAGGAAGGGAAAAATGAAGGGGGGAGGAATCGGAGGGGGAGATGAATCATGGGAGATTATGGACTCTGAGAAACAAACTGAGGGTTCTAGAGGGGAGGAGGGGTGGGGGGATGGGTTAGCCTGATGATGGGTATTAAGGAGGGCACGTATTGAATGGAGCACTGGGTGTTATACGCAAACAATGAATCATGGAACACTACATCAAGAACTAATGATGTAATGGATGGTGATTAACATAACATAATAAAAAATAATTTAAAAAAAAGGAAAAGGCTAAGGAGATAATTTTCATGATAATTCCAGATAATTGGACCCAGATATTTGATGTGAGCATCTTTAAGTGACACTGCCACTTTAAATCATTATGGGGCAAATTTATTCAACTTCAGACAACTTTGCACATATTCTTTATGATTGATTTTAAGTAAAAAATTCAAGACTGAAAATGAATTAGAAAAAAAGTTACTCTGGACACCCGCTTCCAAATGACATAGGAAAAGGTTTAACTTAGAACTTAAAGCTGATTCAGACCACAGACTAAGCAACCACACTCACTAACATTTCTTGTCTGGGATCTGCAGGTATGCATTTCGGCTTGGCTCCTGCAGCAGGGGGCTCTCTCTTATTTCGCTCTGGGATTTTTGTTCAGCTTTATTATCACTTCAAACACTCTGTTCCTGGAGAGCACAGAAATACTTTGCTGAGTCTTCCAGCTGTAAGGTTGAAATGGTGAAGCTGATGGATTTAGTTGCCTTCTGGAAGTTTATAGAATAGCAACCATTCTTTGCATTCTGGTCAAAAGAACTCTGATGAACAAGGAAAGTGATCTCTCCACTGGGAAGCTGTGGATACCAAAAAGTATAGTATGTGCTCTGCCTTGTTTCACACAGACAGTTCAGGGTACTGGATGGCTGCCCCCTCTCTCATGGATGGGGCTGGCTGGATTTGAGTCACTTTCTTGGCCACACTGGATCCTGAAGGGAAAATCAGACAACAGAGCTGATGTAGTAAATAAAATACGGTTAAGAATTAGACTAATTTGGGGTGCCTGGGTGGTCCCATCGGTTAAGCATCTGACTCTTGATTTTAGCTCAGGTCATGATCTCAGGGTTGTGAGATTGAGCCCTGTGTCAGGCTCTGTGCTGAGTGTGGAGCCTGCTTGGGATTCTCCCTTTCCTCTCCCACTGCCCACCCCCCTCACGAAAAAAAAAAAAAGAAGAATTAGACTAATTTCAGACCCAAAGACAAACCAAACTGAAATCATAATATGTAATATGCTTATTTTTCTCCAGTCTTCCTTCCTTCCTCAAATGCACATGAAGTACCAGACGCCTACATGCAGTCCTTTCATCCTTAACATTCTGACCCTTGTCTGGAACCATCCCCACCGGAATAGATGGAGGCCACAAATGCCCTTGGCAGGTTGGGGAGCAGCATATGGGTTGGCACACATCTGGCACAGATGTGTTTAGCTTTTCTCAAGCTCTGAGTTCCCAGCAGCACATACACAGAATTCCCGAGTTCTGATGCTGCTCCTCCAAATGGGAAAGAGGGTTTCTTATGTTCATTGACCACATGGTCCATGCACAGACAAGAGTCTGGCTCACCCCAAACCTTTACTTTGTCTATGGGTCTTTCCCTCAAAGTTAAGTAAGGCAGTACCTGAAAAGGGAGGTGGAAAAAGCAATCAGCATTAAAGTTTTGAGCTGAGGGGAAATGAAGGTTGGATCAGTTGACATAGATTGATAATTTGCAGAGGAAATAATTTTAGGGGCCCATTGGAAATAGAATTTATTATGGGCCATGAACTTTCCTTGTAAATCTACTTACTGGTCGTTAAGTTAACCGACATGTACTTTTCACCACCCAGAATCTAATGATTGAAAAAAAACACCACCACTACCTCACAGATCTTTGGTTTCTCAGTGAAAGTCAATCCTATCCAAAGCAATGGGTACATCTCTTTTTCTTCTTCCTTACTGACTTCTAGGGCTCTACTTAACTTTTAGAATAAATAAAGCTACTTCAAAAGCAAATGACAAAAAATCAGTCCT